GCACCGATATGAAAAGACTTATGGGACAACCTAATATTTGGCGAAATTTTCTTGCTCGGGTGAAATACTGATACTAAAAATAGTGGTGTGACGCAGTGAAGATTATTCTTTTCACACAATGACAGACCTATGGAAATGGAACCTACTATTTTGTGCGACCCATAAACATCTCTAAGTGTCTCATTTTCTAATCTGGTGACATTGTCTGTTATTCTCCCCGTTATTCCAGCTGGGATTCCTCAAAAGTAGAGAAATAATAACGGCAGGCTAACCATGGAGTGCCATGACCAAAAACCTAAGCCATAAAGATTGTACAATATTTTCTCTACTTATTGCGTTGCTAAAGGAAACACATTTTTTTTCGCCATGCGATGACTTTGACAATGGGGATGAGTGGCGTAATGGTATGAGGCGCTATTATGACCAGATTGGACCAAGGTTCGGTACCGCCCATAGACAATCCACGCTCTTCTTCCTCCAGACATAGTAAATTGTTCAGATTAATCTAGGAACGACAAAAACACTGACATGTGTTCGGTCGGCCCCGCAAGCTTATAAGACTCGCGCGCATAATGCATTATCAAAAAAGGATGAAGGATTCGGCGTCATAAGTACCCTCTACTCCATGATCGAAAAGGCTAGTGATTGCGTGCGAACCTCTTACAGTGACTTGCGGGGGCCAGCCGTTAATCAAGTCAGTGCTTTTATTCTCCCAGATTATCAGATTATTTGATACCAATTCACCGGTATCCTTGTAGAGGGCTTGGTTGGCCCAGAGGCGAGATCGAACCCGGGTCCAAGCTGGTCATAGCGGCGCTTCATACCACTACACCACTCTCTACTTTTGCATTTAGTTGAGAAAGAAATGGGGCTCAGAAGACGACATCGTCCACATTAGCTACTACAGACGTTTTCCAGGGTAAGCCGACTCGAGGTCTTCGAGTCCCGCATGCGGCCTCTCTTGGAGGGCAAAGGGCAATGACCGGTGTTTGCAAACTATAATACATTTATTTCGAGGTATGAAAATAGAGCACTTTAATTGCAGATTTTAACAGAACATTATCAACAATCAACCTGAGAACACATCAATCTATATGACTATGACTATTCAATTTAATTGATCATTCCAAAAATACACCGTTAACACAAGCTTTGTACTTGCTCGTTGCTACGGTCGACCAAAACTCTTCTCGGACCACCCACTTGTAATCAACAACCTAAATAACTTATCACAACAAATCTCTAGCTAGATCGAATTCCTTGCTTCCTCAAGGGAATATTTGGTTAGAACTGTGTT